TACCCTGAAGCCACTCGGCCCTGCGGCCGTAGTCGCTCTGTCTCTCTCGCACCCCCACGGGACGCCCCATGAGTGCGAGAGAGACAGAGCGAAGAAGGCGCTGCTCAGAATCAGCCTGTAGGCTCGTGCTGTTGAGGCCAGCTGTGTGAGGTCGCGGCGCAGTCAGTCCAAGGGCCACTTTAAAAAATGAGAGAGAGAGAGCTTTTTATTTGCAAAGTTGTAATATACCTAAATTTACTTTTTTAAGTGGATAAATGTAGTCAGTTTAGCAAGAAAGACTTTGCCTCCAAAAACAACTCTTACTCTGTTGTTTACAGTGCTGCTATTTTTTCTGACTTTTTTCTTTGCTCCCAAGATAAAATTTAAGTCTAGGTTCAAAACTGTTCCACTCACTTTTGAAACTGCGGGCGTGAAAAAATTATCAACCACTTTGCCAACCATCCAAAGTGGCTAACCAAAACCATTGCCATTCCCTCGACGTGCCAGCTCTGAACCTGAAATTCGTTATCCTTCGTACGAGGAAAAATGCAAATTTTGCCTCCGGGTCCAGATTTTTCTTTTTTACCAGTGGCACGCGAGGGAGCGCCCAGAGGGACCTTCCCTCTCCCCCCACTCCCACTGCCGAAGGCTGCGCACCCTTCTCTTTATCGAATCACCGCTTAACGTAACCTACCCGGGGGATAATCTCGGACGAGAGGAAGTCCTTTGCCAACAATAAAAGCCCAAGGCGACGCCCACCTGGCCCACTGCAAAGGCGTGGGAGGAGAGGGGAGGGAGGGGAAGGGGTGAAAGGGAAGGGGTAGAGGGGAGGGGGGGGAAGGAAGGGGGTGGCGGTAAGGGCTTTGGATGCAAAAGAGACATCGACGTGAATGAAAGACACGCGACGCGGGACTAGGCGAGCGGCCGTGACGGGGCGGCGGCGGAAAAGGGGAGTGGGGAGGGGGAGGGGGGACGACCATCCAGAAAAAGGCGTGGGCTGACACGACCCACTGATGCAGGCCGGCAGGGCTGCCAGGACGCCCGAACACTGTACAATAGTACACTGTGGTGAACCCAGAAAGCAATGAGCATCGCTTGTGCACGGCAAAAAATGTCCCTGCATTAATTACGTGACGTTCGGAGCAGGACCGTTGGTGTATCTGTATCTTGCAACGGGCTCCATCCACGATGAATTGCATTTCTCTGTTTATTTGCACTCACACTTCCGCTTTTCAGGGCGGCACCACATTATGACAATGTAGGAGTGGAAAATAGAAACTCCAGGCATCATCAAGGAAGCGGTCGCATCTGGTTGGAATCGAACGCGGGGGCGAGGCTGCGGGGCGGTTCAGAGAGTCGTTTTCGTCGCTCTGTCTCACTCGCACTCATGGGACGTTCTAACGGGTGCGAGAGAGACAGAGCGACGAAGACGACTCTCGGAATCAGTCTGCTGGAGGTGTTCTCGAGTTCGTGAGAGAGTGCGCATCCGTGGTGGGGCCCCGCAAGGCGCGCGCTCGTCCACACAATGCCGCTCCACTGGTTGATGTTTGCATTTCGTCGCGTTAAGTTACGAGGCGTGCCGCTCCTTTTTCGGATTCCCCATCCATCACACGGCACGGCGGCCCGCCATCAGACACAGTCATTTGTTTGGCCTTTTTCGTCGCACCGGGTGGGCCTGCACGCCGAACCGCGCTCTCCGTCTCTCTCGCACACCCACGCCGCGTGGGTGAGTGAGAGAGAGACAGAGCGGCGAGAGCGCGCTCCGGATGCAGGCCCCCCTGGGCCCGGCGGACGTGTTACGTTGTTATTGATTTGATCCGTGACAAGCTGCAGCTACGCGCGCGCCGGGGCCAGGCATCTCCACTATGAATTTCCACCGAATTTCTCATAGGTTGTTCGCGTGAGGATCACCGTCTTTGCCGTCTTTACCGCAAAAGAGTGCAGAGGAAGACGTGCGGGGTGGCGGGTGCGACGTGCGCGACACGTGGAGGCGCGGGGTGCAGGAAGCGGGGCGAGGGCACGGCGTGACGCGCGAGGGGCACACACATGACAGGCACGCGCCTCCACGGCGACGGTCTCAACGGCCTCCTTGGCGGCCCGGAGCTCCGCGTCGTGGGGGTGCGCGACGTTGCAGTGCCCCCCGGGGCTTGTTGGAGCCCGCGGGACTGGCGGGACTGGCGGGGCTGGCGGGGCTGGCGGGGCTGGCGGGGCTGGCGGGGCTGGCGGGGCTGGCGGGGCTGGCGGGGCTGGCGGGGCTGGCGGGGCTGGCGGGGCTGGCGGGGCTGGCGGGGCTGGCGGGGCTGGCGGGGCTGGCGGGGCTGGCGGGGCTGGCGGGGCTGGCGGGGCTGGCGGGGCTGGCGGGGCTGGCGGGGCTGGCGGGGCTGGCGGGGCTGGCGGGGCTGGCGGGGCTGGCGGGGCTGGCGGGGCTGGCGGGGCTGGCGGGGCTGGCGGGGCTGGCGGGGCTGGCGGGGCTGGCGGGCTGGCGGGGCTGGCGGGGCTGGCGGGGCTGGCGGGGCTGGCGGGGCTGGCGGGGCTGGCGGGGCTGGCGGGGCTGGCGGGGCTGGCGGGGCTGGCGGGGCTGGCGGGGCTGGCGGGGCTGGCGGGGCTGGCGGGGCTGGCGGGGCTGGCGGGGCTGGCGGGGCTGGCGGGCCCAGCCGAAAATTCCGGCCCTGATTCCGGCCGGAATTTCTAGTTCCGGCCGGAACTTAGCCTTTTTCCGGCCGGAGGTGGCTTTTTTACGGCCGGATTTCTCGGTCCGGCCGGACATTTTTGAAGTCCGGTCGGAACTTTTCGTTCCGGCCGGAACTTTTGAAAATCTCCGGCCGGAGCCTCAGATTCCGGCCGGACCCGAGCCACCGCCCAGAAGGTAGGCACAATTGTATGACAATTGGGTAGGCAACCCGCTCCACTTTTTGGGTCATTTTGCGAACGGACGGTCCTACGGGTATGGCGATGGTACCAATCGACTCAGAATCGAAAATTGACCTTCCGACCATACCTTGGAGACTGTCCCATGGTCTTTGTGGTCAGAGTGACTGATGTCTGCTCCGGCCGGACTCCGCGTCCCGGCCGGACAGCACCGGACTCCGGCCGGACACCACCGGACTCCGGCCGGACAGCTCGCCGGCCGGAGTCCGGTGGTGTCCGGCCGGAAATTTACCCAAAATACGGCCGGAGTCATAACGGAGTCCGGCCGGACTATTTTCCGGCCGGAGGGTGGCCGGAATTTTCGGCTGGGGGGCTGGCGGGGCTGGCGGGGCTGGCGGGGCTGGCGGGGCTGGCGGGGCTGGCGGGGCCGGCGGGGCTGGCGGGGCTGGCGGGGCTGGCGGGGCCGGCGGGGCTGGCGGGGCTGGCGGGGCTGGCGGGGCCGGCGGTGATTCAATTTGCAGCACCGAGTCAGTCAGTGGCGGGCCTGGCGGCGGGACTAGCGGCACCGAGTGGGTCCCGGTCCCAGTCCCGCGCCGCGCCTCGTCGTCCGCCCCGGCCCATTTGGCCGGCTAAGCTGTTTTCACTAGACACGCAGCCTTTGATGTCGACTGCAGGCTGATGCCGAACAGCGTCGCTCCGTCTCTCTCGCACCCGCGGGGACGCCGTGCTAGTGCGAGAGAGACAGAGCGACCCAGTTCGGAAGCGGGCCGCTGGTCCGCCGGGGGCGGCCGGAGCCACGAGGAGCACAGCGGCAAGACGACAAAATTGCGCGCAGCGACGTAACGTCAGCCTGGTCTCGATGCCGCCTCTGCCACTTCACCGACCCGAGGGCAATAGGGAGTCCGCCTCCAGCGGACCTCGGCCTCGGCGAGTGAGCAGCCCTGTACACTGATTCCGAGAGTCGTCTTCGTCGCTCTGTCTCTCTCGCCCTCAAAGGGCGTCCCTGTAGGTGCGACAGAGAGAGAGCAACGAAAAGGACTGTCTGCTGGCCCTGGTTAAATCACACAGCACACAGCGTTCCTGAGACACAGCTCCGCCTTCTACCAGGAAACCGATTCTGACAGTCGTTTGCGTCGCTGTGCGTCTCCCTCGCACCAATAGAGGACGCTCCATGAGTGCGAGAGAGACCGATTCTCGGAATCTGTCTGGTCGGGTGCTTGACCAAGTCCAGCAGGGGTCTGGTTCCGAACATTGCGTCGTCACTCTGTCCCTCTGGGGCCCTTTCGGGACGCCTGCGAGTGCGAGAGAGACAGCGGCGACAGCTCTGTTCGAAATCAGCCTGCAGTCGCAGTGACAGCGTCTGCAGCCCACCAGGTTTGCGGTGCATCCGAGGATGCATCAAATCCTTGTTAAATGGGTCCCGGTGTCATGCGGCTGTCCATTCAACTCCCCTTCCCCCGCCTCCTCAGAGTGGAAACTGGGGGCTCGACCGCCTCTCCCTCTCCCTCCCCCCGGTTTCTCTGTCTCCCTCTTGCGCACGTGCGGCCCCTACGCGTTGCCGGCGGAAATTGAGGCCTTGTCTAACGCGCTCCCCTTTTACCAACTTCACAACCCGCTCCGTCCCTCTGTCATCGTCTTCCTCTCTCTTCCACACACTAACGTGGCCGGCAGTCCATTTGCATGTCGTTTGCATCTTGTTGCTCCTAGTCCGGCCGTCTGCACACGGTCCTGGCTGGGGCGCGGGCGCCGGTCCGGAGGAGGCCGTCAACAAGGTGGCCGTCAACAAGGTGGCCGTCAACAAGGTGGCCGTCAACAAGGTGGCCGTTAACTAAATGGCTACCAACAAGGTGGTCGTCAACGAGGTGGCCGTTAACCGGGTGGCCGTCAACAAGATGACCGTCAGCGAGGTGACCGTCGACGAGGTGGCCGTCAACAAGGTGGCCGTCAACGAGGTGGCCGTCAACGAGGTGGCCGTCAACAAGGTGGCCGTCTACGAGGTGGCCGTCAACAAGGTGGCCGTCAACAAGGAGGCCGTCAACAAGGTGGCCGTCAACAAGGTGGCCGTCAACGAGGTAGCCGTCAACGAGGTGGCCATCAACGAGGTGGCCACACTGACCCTGACCCAAGGAACCCGAAGGGCTGAGGTGACTGACCTGCGGATGGAGGTGAAGTACTGGTCCAGGAAGTCCTTGGCGTGCAGCAGCACCTCCTCCTTGGGCCTGCAGCCGGGGCCGCTGCTGCTGCCGGCGTGGTTGGCGACTGATTGAGGGGCCAGTGCCGGGCAGGACGGCGGCCCCGCACCGGAAGCGGACCCCGCACCGGAACTGGCGGCGAGCCGGTTCTGGGGCGGGAACATGATGCTGCCCACGCACGCCTGGTACTGTTGGCACATCGGTGACTGCAACAGAAAAAGCACAAAGTTTCGGGTAAAAACAAGCAAAATTTGAAAAGAGAGAGAGAGGGAGACTTTTTTGGGGGGTGGGTGGGTGTTGGGTGTTTGGCCTCCATTCCAAGCCGATGTGGAGCAATATTTGAAAGTGGCGCGTGGCGCGGTCAGGCAGTGGTGCCAACCCTCATTGTTGAGAATAAAACAATCGGGCACCATTTTCAGGGAAACCGCGCGCCGACACTCACTATTCGCTTCCTCGTTTTCAAATTTTCCAGTGCAATCTCAAAGCCTAAATTCCCAGTCATCTCAAAACATTCTAACAGTGCAGCCAACTGCCGCCTGAGACCATGTCAGCCATCATGCGCGAGTGGCAGCTGGAGCAGGACCGTCGCCTTATGAAGTTCAACACGCACGAGGACTACCTGGACTCGCTGGTGGCGGACCAGGACATGACGTACCTGCGGGGAGCCGAGCCCAGAATCCTGGCCGAGCTCGGATACAGGTCAGAAATCATTTTTGTTTATCAGAGGGAATTTTGAAAAGTTTTACCAGTTTGTTGGTACGCCTGTTAGACCTTAAGCATGGGAAAAGAATTCCTTTTGCTTTCAAGGGAGTCTGCCCTGAAAACGAATACAAATTGCAGGGACTCTCTTCGTTTACAAGGATGTGTACTTTAAAAAACCATAGGAGGTTCCACGACACTGCCTTGGTTTTCAAGCAAGTTTTTTCTGAAAATACAAAGGAAATTCCAGGGTACCTTTTGGTTTTCAAGCAAGTGGTGATACCTTGAAAGAAAATCATAGAAAATTTCAGGGCACACTCACCTTCTTTGTTTTCAAAGAAATGTACCTTGAAAACCATAGAAAATTATAAGGCAGCACTTGGTTTTTGAAAAAGTGTATCTTAAAATCATCAAGACTTCCTTGACGACTGAAGGCACACTTTGGTGTGCATCCGCGAGCCACGTGGTGCGTGCTCGGCGACCTCCTCGTCTCGGCCGGCCCTGCAGGGGCCCTGCAGGGGGTTCTGGCGCCCTGGTCCATCCCGGTGATGGCGCGTGACAAGCCGCCCATCTTTATGAATGAGGAGGTGGACTCCTGCGCTCACACGCCACCCGCCATCCTTCACCGCCACCGGGCCGCTCATCTGCCGGGCGGACGTGTCGGACGTGTCCGACGGACGGTGGCGACGGCGACGACGGGATATTCGGGACCGTCGGCGTGGCGTGAGGCGCGAACCGGCGCGGAAAATAGAGTGCCCGGAAAACGGAGACCGCCAAAACACGACTGTCCCGACACTACACTGCACAGCGCGGAGGATAGAGTGCCCCGGAAAACGGAAACGGCCAAAGCACGAATCTGTCAAAAAAACAAGCTCGGAAATTTTTATTTTTGTATAGTGAATTGGCAGTTTTTCCTGTAGTATTTTGACTGGTATGAGAGTGAATCTGACTGGACTGTATCCGGGTCATTGTGAAGGTCTAATGGTCATATTATCCAAACCCCATCAATTCACTGGAACAGTATGCCCGCAGACTCGAAAACTTCGAACGGCGCAACCGTGACCCACTTGAACGCCGTAGTATATCGCGTCCCATTCTTAACGCGCAGCCTCCCGAAACACTGTTATGATCATTGCCCCACTTTGTCACTCGGCGAGAATTATTTCTTTCCTTCCGCGAAGACATTCTCGCAGTGCCGCGGAGCCCGCCGCTGCCGCGGCTGCTGCTCATCGCAAGGTGCCGCGAACCCTGCTCTCTCTCTCTCTCTCTCTCTCGCTCTCTCAGTCTCTCTCACGGCCTCCCCCCCCTCCGCTTTCTCATACTCTCTGTCTTACTCCCCCCCCCTCTCTCTCACTCTCTGTCTCACCCGGTGTCTGTCTCCCCTCCACTCTCTCTCTCTCTCTCTCTCTCTCTCTCTCTCTCTCTCTCTCTCTCTCTCTCTCTCTCTCTCTCTCCAGATTAACGACACGGCCCCCACCCCTTTGCAGCAAACACTGCAACAAGTGTGCCTCTAATCAAGAGGGTGCTCCGCGCATGGCCCGCCAGCCCCAGCAGCCCCACCAGGCCCACCACACTCGTGCCCCAACAACGCCTCGCGCTCATCACACCATTTTCCCGCCAAAGACGTTCCCTTTCGCTTTCGTTGCTTCCGCCCCGATCTGCAGCCATCCGCAATATAGTTTTCCATCATCCCACCTCTATTCTTCTACACCTTGTGCCTCCTCTCCCTTCCCCTCCCCCTCGTCCGTATCCGGCCAATCAAAAGCGTTTTCAGCTTCTTTCTCTGCTTTTCTGGGTCCGGGACTTGTGTGGGTGTGCGCGCAAGTGTGTGTTGAGTGTATAAGCGTGGGTGTGTTCGAGGGTACGAGTGTGTGTGAGTGTGTGTGTGTCCGTGAAATCGAATTTGATTCGCGCCAAAGTGTGCACCCGACTTGGACGTATGTGCTTCACCCTGCCGCCCTCGGCCGCCCGCGCTCCAGTAAACGTCTCCTTCCAGTGTGCTCCAGCGTGCTCCAGCTCCAGGCTGCATTAGTTGCAGCGATGTGGCTGTCGCCTGGCGCCACCGCCGTGAGAGCGTTGTTGCTCCACTGTTCGAGAGGGAAGGGTGAAAGAGAGAGGAGGGCGTCACGCGTCTTTTATCCACCAGGACCGGCGGAACAAGTTTGAGATTAGTCATCCAGGAGACTAATGACGAAGCTCAGAAAAAAATACAGAAAAACCTTTTGCGTACCACTAAGCAATGCTCGAAAGGATTGACAAAAAATATCGCACCCGAATAAGTTGGATATTTTTTCCGAGGGGGTATGCGCTCTCTGAACCTGTGTACCGACTATTAAGCTATTACGCTCTATTACGCCACAAATTAATCGGAATTTAGCTAAAAACGGCCTAAAACACACCAAAATTGATAAAATTTTGACAATTTCGGCTATTACGCGCACTGAGAAAACCTTACAAACTATTTTGGACCTTACAAAGAAAAGTAGTTTGTATAACAAAGTATTTTGAGCATACGTAAGCTTACAAAGAAAATACTTCGTAATTTACGAAATATTTCTTCGTATAACAAAGTATTTTAGTTTGTTATATGTATGCTCAAAATACTTCGTAAGGTTTTAAGAGTGCGACTATTACGCGAATTATTACGCGTGCTATTACAGATAGAGTGAACCGACTATTACGCGAGTGCATACCCCTCAATTTTTTCACTGCCGCTAGGTTAGCCTGAATGCGCACACCTATTGACCCAGGCGCATGGACCTAGCCTGCCCTGCTGCTGGACCACGCCTTCCAGTGACACACAAATGGCAAAGGCTGGTGGTTTCTCTCCAGTCTTTGCCCGCTGGCAGTAGTAGTGTGCTCTGACAAGTGTGTCCTGGCAGGTAATGCTGCTGAATGGCTGGCAATCACGACGCGAGGTCCTCCAGCAGGCTGATTCCGAAGACTGCTTTCGATCTCTCTCTCTCTCTCTCTCTCTCTCTCTCTCTCTCTCTCAGGACGGTGCTGTCCGGAATCAGTCTGCAGGGCCCCTTGGATGCGATAAGTGGCGGACGGAAAGCACTGCCGACCAAGACTGCAAAACGACCTTTTTCCTGTTACGTCGCTTTTCGGCCCGAATTGGCTCTCTTTGTGACGTCAGGACCGTCAGGAGCACCGTGCCGAGATGGAAGGAAGGCCGCGAGTCAGGCAGGGCGGACAAACAGACAGTCAGGCAGGCAGACAGACAGACAGACCGAGGGACACAGAGAGACAACAATGTGGAGGCCGCACTGTCCGCGTCAAAACGCACGCCGTCTCCCCGCTCACCGCCAACTTATTCGGTTTCAAAGAGCCCGCTCGAGGCTCAGCGGGCTCATTCCGAAGCGTGGCTTTTTGGTCGGTCAGTCTCTCTCGCACTCATGGAAACGTCCAACGCAAGGGGCGCGAGGCAGACAGAGCGACGAGGCACCGTGAGGAGCCAGCCAAAGCTTGGACTTCCCCGATGGGTGGTGCCGGAGCTGTGCGCTCACGCCTCGAGAACGCAGCGAAAGCGGTTTCTACGGGCTGGTTCCGAAGGGGCGTCGGGGAGAAGAGGAAAAGGGGAGAGAAGAGAGAAGAGAGAGAGAGGGGAGAGAGAGAGAGAGAGAGAGAGAGAGAGAGAGAGAGAGAGCCTGCTGAGGCCATTGGGCCACATGGGCCATCCAATCGGTCGTCGCCACTACTGTCAAGGCGGCCACCACTACGCGCCGCCAGTCACGACTGGAGGGCCGGGCCACACTTGGCGAGGAGTCAAAGGTCAAAAACAACAACGACAAAAAGCAACAACAAAAGAAAAAATCAACAAAAGAGCAAAAAAAAAAAAAAAAAATAACAGACAAAAAAAAAATACAAAGAAGAAGGCAAAAACAACAAACAAGCAAAATCAACAACAAATTTTGTTTATCTTAAGATGGGAAACGATTTTTTTTGAAAATAATCGCTTTTCTCTCCCTCTCCAGGAGCGCGGGCAACACGCTGACGCGCGGCCAGTTCCTGAAGCGGCTGCGCGCCGTGACCGAGGCCCTGTACCCGACGCGCAACCAGTACCTGGAGGACAACAGCGGCATCCTCATCTCGGACCCGCTGCTGCGCGAGCTGGCCCAGCGCGAGCGGGCCAACCGTGTGGGCTTGCTGGCGGTAAGTAGGCTAAAGAAAAAAAAAACTTTTCTTTATGGAAAACTACAAATTTATCGGGGAGTTTTGCTTGTCCAGTGGCTGTCTGTTTTCGCCATCTAGTTTGTCTCAATTTTAACAAAATATGTTACTCCAGCAGCCTCAGACGCCAAATTATGTCATTTTAAAGGAGAAAGACAATTTTTCTGCATTCCAGACGAAGCAAGGAAACTTACCAATGGATTGGCAGTACACTACACACTTGAGAGCTTTTTTGTGGAGGGCGGAATGTGTATAGATTTTCTTTGTGGCCGCTGAAGTGTTGCCCTAGGTATCTCAATGATTACAT